AGGAAGGAAGGAAGGAAGGAAGGAAGGAAGGAAGGAAGGAAGGAAGGAAGGAAGGAAGGAAGAAAAGAAGGGGAGAAAAGTCCTACACTTGATAAATACACGTTTAAAAAAAATGAGCTGGGCAATGGTGGTGCAGGCCTTTAATCCCAGCATTTCGAAGGCATAGGCAGGTGGATCTCTGTGAGCGAGTTCCAGGACAGGCTCTAAAGCTACACAGAGAAACTCTGTCTCAAAAAACAATAACAACAACAACAAAATATTTGGTTGTTTTCAAGACAAGGTTTCTCTGTATAGCCCTAGCTGTCCTGAACCTTGTTCTGTAGACCAGGTTGGTCTCACACTCAGAGGTCTGCTTGCCTCTGCCTCCCAAGTGCTGGTATTAAAGGCGTGTACCACCAACACTGAGCAAATTATATATTTCTATAATCAGTTGGGTTATTTTTTTACTATGCCAAAAAGTTTACTATTTTTTACATGACAAACTTTAATATGAATATACACGTGCAGAATTAAGCACAAACCGTGCGAAGACAAAATTTAATTATCTGAATCAAGAGTAAATAAATAAAAGCTGGACCTAGTGGTATACTCCTGTAATCCCATCACATGAAAGGCAGAGACCAGAGATCGCTACACGTTCTAGTCCAGCCTGATCTCTCTATAACGAGTTTCAGGCAAGCCAGGGTCACAGCCCTAAGAGCCCCGGTGAGGTGAGGCAGCTGACAGGAGTCAGTGAACAGCCTTTGGTTCCTCTGATGGTCGAGCACGAAGACTGGAAAACAGAACCATTTAGGAACAGTAACCGGAACGGTTGCCCGGACAACCGCGCGGCACTGACAGCGCGCGCTGCTGGGACTAGCGTCGACGGTGATTGGCTGGTTCTCCTGGCGTCCATCTCTCTGGCAACTGATTGGCTGAGGGGATAGGGAGGGAGGACCTCCGGTGTGGAAAAGGCGTGGTCAGACTCCGGTCAAGAGCTCTGGGGAGTTAGCGGTCCTTGGCCAGAGCTGCATCCACAGGCCTCCACCTCTGCCCCACTCTTCTTCCACCAGGACCCTGAGCCATGTGGTGCGGGAAGCTCAGAAGGAAATGTGTTCGCTGTCCTCGCCAGCGCTCTGCTCAGTAGCACACTAGTAAACCAGGCGTTCAGCTGTGGCCATGAGCGCTCAGATATCAAGACACTCTTCAGGCTTCCTACCTTTTCATGACACCCCAGCACCTACCAAATCATCAGCTCCCTTCGAGGCCCTCAATACCAACACTTCGTTTTATTTGTTCTTTGTTAAATATTTTTCAAGGTGCCCCTCTTTTCTGAATACACTCGTGTCTTGTCCCCAATGCACCAGGCATACGGCCCGAGGAACTGAAATCACAGCCAACAATAGCCATCCTGCAAGTGAGTCAATACCCTAAGGTCCCGTGGATTCCCACAAGTCTTTGCAAGCAGTCCCTTGCCTTCATTAAAGGATTCTAGGAGAGAAGCTCACTTCACAGGTCCCTTCAGCCCCTCACTCTGAGCCACACAGAGACATTCCACTGCTGGCTGAGTGGCTCTTCTCCACAGACAAGAGAGAGGAAGACAAAAGAGCAGTCTGTCTTTCTGACCTCTGACAAAGGACCATCTAGTCAGGTGTGGTAGATAGAACACATCTGTAATCCCAGAATTTGTGGCAGAGCCAGTGGTTAGTGTCATCCCTAACTACACAGTGAGTTTCAGGTCAGCTTCAGCTAGCTGAGACCCTGTCTAAATAAAACCTTTGCTTGTTTGAGGCAGGGTTTCTCTGTGTAGCTCTGGCTGCCCTGGAACTTGCTCTGTACACCAGGCTGGGCTTGAGCTCAGAGATCTGCCTGCCTCTGTCTCCTAAGCAAGGTTCAGGATAGCCAGGGCTACACAGTAAGACATTGTCTAAACAAACAAACAAACCGAAATAAAAATCAAAAAACACTGCAACAAGCTTGCCTGATCTGGCAAACCTAACACAAATTCGTAGCTGTGTGACTTGTGATTCAGGGACTGGAGAGATGGCTCAGCGGATAAGAGACAGACATGCGGGCAAAACACCAATGCACATGAAACAAACAAATAAAACAACAACAACAAAAGGCAGCAAACCCAGTCAGAGAATAGTGGTAACATAGACAATGCACACAACAGATCCGCTGGCTCTGCTCAAGCCTGGGCAGCCACTGTTACTATTCTCTGTATCCTACTTAAGCTACAGAGCTGCAGACGGTATGCGGTTCCCTGAGGCCTCTCTGGTATCAGAGCTCAATGTTCTCTTGGCAGCTGAGCCACAGTGCAGGATAAGGCTGGACCCTGGGTTTTGAAAGGAGCAAATGGGAATGGATGCCACAGAGGTTAAAAATCAGAACTTTTTGTTCAAAGCCAAATGGGAAGGTACCGCACATTGTAAATGGCAATTACCAAGGAAGTGAGCAGCAGGGTGGGTAGGAGCTGCAGAAGGCATGAGAGGGAGAGTGGTCCCTGGTGAGGACTTCTTGGTTTCCCTGGCAGACCCCAGCATAAGCAGATGGGAGAGATGCCCACAAAATAGCCAGGAGCCCGAGGCGGGTGATCTAATTCAGTGGACAGGAAATGAGTTTCCCTGCCTCCAGGTTCCCGACATAAAAGCCAAAGGAGATGCTAGGGCTCAGTGAGAGCCAAGGCCCCTTGTGACATGATGCAAGTTGAGGGGACTTCCTTTCCCTGGCTCCAGCTTCAGAAGTGACTGGCTGTCTTTCAGCTGGGAAGCTGAACTCAGAGCCTTTATTTACAGACTTATGGTCCCAAGATGAGCTGGGTGATTTGCACCTATGATCTGAGTACCTAGGAGGTAGATGCAAGGAGCATCGATTACAAAGATTGTTCCCAGCTACCCTACGTGAAACCGGGTTCAAAAAACAAAATCAGATGTCTTAGCAGGTAAACATGTCTACTGCCAACCAAGCCTGACAACTTGAGTTCCATATCTGGAACCCACATGGTAGAGAACCAATTCTAAAAGCTGTCCTTGGACTTCCACAGGTGCAATGTGGCACATGCGCACCCCATGCATACACATATATAGACACCAACAGCAACCACAAAAACTAATTTCTTAAAAAAGGTCCCAATGGCCGGGTGGAGGGAGGCAGAGGCAGGCGGATCTCTGAGTTTGAGGCCAGACTGGTCTGCAAGAGCTAGTTCCAGAACAGGCTCCAAAGCTACAGAGAAAACGTCTGACAAATGGACCCTGATCAGCGACAAGGTTAGGCACGAGAGGCTTCCCAGGGCAAAAGTGGTGACTCAGGGATGCCTAAGAGAACCAAGAGCTGCCGATCCTCGGAGATCGGCTCAAGCACCTGGCAGACAGAGCCACAGGCCACAGCTTAAAATCCAAGGCCTTTAATCTGCAGCTAGAGTGCTTGCCCTTCTCCTCCCATGGCCCACCTGATGCCACCACTGGCACCTTACAGCTTCCTGCCCTCACCCTTGTCCATCCCACTGGCTAGGACACAGTGTCTTCCCAGGACCCTAGCACCAGCGAGGACTGACCCAGCTTCCCTGGGTGTTCTCCCTGCTCGCTCGTTCTCTGGCTTCTAAGTGGGAGCAGATGGGGGTGCAGTGAGCGCCCCTGCCGCCGCCGCCGCCCCCAGCATGAGCATGGCCAGAGCCTTGGGTCCGGTGGTGTGGATCTTCTCATGCCGGTGCAGGTTGGAGCGGCGGCTGAAGCTCTTGCCGCAGAGTGGACAGGAATATGGCCGCACACCGCGGTGGGTGCGCTGGTGGGCAGTGAGGTGCGAGCTGTGGCTGAAGCTCTTGCCGCAGTCGAGGCAGTGGTATGGCTTCTCGCCCGTGTGCGTGCGATTGTGCGCGATGAGGTTGGAGCGCTGGCTGAAGCACTTGCCGCACTCCGGGCATGGGTAGGGCTTGATGCCGGTGTGGGTGCGCTGGTGTGTGACCAGAGCAGAGCTCTGAGTGAAGCACTTGCCGCAGATAGGGCACTTGTGTGGCTTGGCGCCGGTGTGCGTGCCCTGGTGTGTGACTAGGTCCGAGCGGCGGGTGAAGCGCTTGGTGCAGTGGTCGCACACGTAGGGTTTCTCACCGGTGTGGATACGCTGGTGTTGGATCAGTGTGGAGTGGTGGCTAAAGCTCTTCCAACACGAGGGGCAGGTGTAGGGTTTCTCGCCCGTGTGGATGATCTGATGTTGGATGAGGTGTGAGCTGCGGCCGAAGCGCTTGCCGCAGTCCGTGCAGGTATAGGGCTTCTCACCGGTGTGTGTGCGCCGGTGCGTCACCAGGTGCGAGTGCCAGCTGAAGCCCTTGCCGCACTGTGCGCACGTGTACATCTTCTTGCCTGTTTCACCGTCGGGGATCAGACCCTCCTTGCCACTTTCCAGGACACTCTTCTCCTCCTCCTCACTGGGCTTCTCTGGACCACCATCCTCTGGGGTCTTGAGAGGGCATGTGTTGGATGGGGATGGCTTTGGTTGCCTGGCTTCTCCAGCGTCTCTGGCTATCTTTGCATCCAGGCCGCTAGCCACTTGCTGACCACTCCGTGGCTCTTCTCCTGGAGCCCAGCTGGCCCTGGTCCTTAAGGGTTTCTTATCCCCTAGGGTTGCCATGGCTAGGGTTGGTACCACCTTCCCCATTTCCACAGCTCCTATAAAAAGACAGGACTGCCAGCTGGAAACAACCTTCTGGAGAGCCCGCGAGATGGGAAGGCGGAGCTAAAAACCCGGGAGCTAGATTCTGAGAGTCAGGAAAAGGCAAGGAGAAGCCATGGAGTCCCTCAAGACAAAAGCCACCCTCCAGCAGTAGAGAGATCTGGAAGGTCCTACATCCACACCCACAAGGGGGAGCCCCAAACCCAGGAAGGCATCTGCTAAGGCCCTCACCTGAGCCAGGGCCTGGCCTCTCTTCAGCTCCTGTTGGTCGGCTGGAACTTGCCACCTCGCCCTTCCCCTGAACCTGGGGGACCCAGAAAGGTCTGCTAAACGGAAACCCTGTCCAGAAAGAGAAGTGTGCTTCTGTCCAATCGTAGAATCACCCCCCAAACCACACTTCTCCCATCATCCCCCTCTCCAGCCCCACCGGACTCTGAGGAAAAAGGGGAAACAAGAGCCTTGGAAACCTAAGGAAAAACAAAAGGCACTCACAAATTTCCTTTAGAGTCAGGCATGGATGCCTGCTCCTGGGAGGCTGAGGGAGGGCCCTGAGCTCAAGGCCATCCAAAACTACACGGGTTTGGTGGCAGGTCTGTGGAATTCCAGCACTCAGGAGGTGGAGAAAGGAAGGTTAGGAGTTTAAGGCTATCCTCAGCTATATAACGAGTTCAAGGCTACCCTGCACTATAAGAGACCCTGTCTCAAAACAAAATTTAAACAAATGGATAAATAAATATATTTATTCTTTTAGAAGGGCTGGCGTATGGCTGAGCAGTAAGGTGCTTGCCTATGTGGCTGGGTGACAGGGTGCTTGCCTGTGTGGCTGGGTGACAGGGTGCTTGCTACCAGAGACACACTGTGTTGTGTCCCTGAGGAGTTTGGTGTAGTCAGTAAGAGCAGAGGGCTCTGACTCCCATACCTCAATGTAAGACAGGGATTTGTTAGGTCATTAGTTAGGGCCTGCTTGAGTCCTAAGCTCCCTCTGATGTCCAGGGTTTGTTGGGACTTGTTGGTCCGGGCCCTGGGAAATGCTAACAATGGGAGTGAGCAAACCTGAGATAATTAAAGGCGTGAGTGGGGTGGGTGATGTGCCCAGGATGGGTCTCGGGGCCTCCAGCTGAGCCTGTGTAAGGATCCAAGTACCATCCTTAGCAACCACATTAAAAGCCACAGTGGCAAAAGCTTGTGGTCCTAATGATGGGTGTCTGGATACCTGGAGCTCAATGGCTACTGGGTTTAAACACCTTGGTGAGTTCCAGACCAATGAAAGACCCTCTCTCAGGCTCAGACGTTAAGAGCACTGGCTGCTCTTCTAGAGGTCCTGAGTTCAATTCCCAGTCAGCAACCAGTAATGAGATCTGATGCCCTCTTCTGAAAGTGTATATATAATAAACAAATAAATTTAAAAAAAAAAAGAAAGACAAAGACCCTCTCTCAAAAAAATCAAAGTGAACCAGGCAGTGGTGACACACTCCTTTAATCCCAGCCCTCAGGAGACAAAAGCAGGCAGATCTTTAAATTCAAGGCCAGACTGGTCTATAGAGTGAGTTCCAAGACACCCAGAGCTACACAGAGAAAATATGTCTTGAAAAAAAATCAAAAATCAAAGTGGACAGCACTGAAATAACAACAGTCAAGGCTAACCTCACACACACACACACACACACACACACACACACACACACACACACTGCTTCAGCTCAGGGATTCCACCTTAACTAGTAAACTTGAGGAATCAAAGTCCGGACTTAGATGCGAGCCCTCCCCATCCTGGAGGAGCCATCTTGCCCCGTAGGTTCTCTGAAGCAGCAGCAATGCTTCTAGCTTAAGGACCTGAGAGGGTGGCTGATGGCACATCTGGATGAGAGGCCATGTCTGAAGCTGGGACTCTGAGAAGGGCTGCGACGCTTGTGAAAACGCAGTGAGTCAACACTGTGCGGGGCCGCAGTCACTAACCAGCCTGGCTGATGTTTCCTGTTAAATACCCTTTGAGACAAGTGTCACTGCCCAGCCCTGGCAGGCCTGGAGCTCCGCATGGAAGCATCAATCCTCTAGCCTTTGCCTCTGCCTCCTGACTGCTGGGAGTGTGAGCCATCACACCCAATATTCTGACTGCTCAAACTCCAATCTGAGCTGACCAAATAAAGTTTAAAATTAATCCCTCCTATCGTGTTTCTAGAATCCAGCAGGCCCTTTGCTTGTGGTCACCATCCTAGGGCTGATGCAGACATCTCCACCTGTGTGGAAGGTTCTGCAGGGCAGTGCTGTCCAAAGAAGAGAGGAAAAGGGAGCAGAGTGGAGGGGAGGGGAAGGAGGCCATGACAGGCAGCCTTCAACACTCCCGTGGCCAAGGAAGGCGCCATGCAGATGAGACCTTACCCAAAGCCAGACCACTTTTTTCCTGTAGTGCATCCCTGTAGAAATGTTGCTGTGTGTGGTCCAGCCTTCCCCACTCCTCCCGGGAGAGGTACAGAGCCACATCCTCAAAGGTCACCGGCATCTGGGACAACATGAAAACAACAGCACATTCAGGGTTTGCTGTGGACATGGTAAGATGACAGCACCAGGCCTTCAACCTGCTGCCTCCAGTGACCGCCATCACTTGGATTAGGCTGGACAGAAGAGCTGCCCAGAGCGGCCTTTTGTGGGAGGTGATGGTTAGTAAGGCAGCATTTCTGGGTACATGGCCCCAGCTCAGGCCACCACATGGTCCCCACCCTAAGCTCATCTCTCAGAGGACAGGACTGACGTGGCCCCAGCAAGTCAGGAGGCAGCACTCTGGAGTCACACGCTGTGCCAATCACAGAAAAAACTGGTACCATGTGAGGACCAGGAAGAGTTCTGCCTCTGTCCAGACAGCCTGGGGGACCTCAGGGGACACTTACCTGGGACCAGGCAGTGAGGAGAGCTGCAGCCACCTGCCGTTCTCTGGTCCTTCCCGCTCGGGAAAGTACAGGAACCCAGGGTGAAGGAAGAACTGCAGGAAGACAGGGTCCTCAGAGCAGCCAGCATCCCGGGCCATGATGCTCCCCAGTCACCCACTCGAAGGCTGCCAGAATGCACATGGAAATCTGGGGCTTCCCCCTCCCTCAGTAAAGCCCTCAACTCTCCCCAAAATGTCTCCCCGAGAAAGAGCACCCTTCTCCTACCTCCCCTGGGCAGGAACAGGGCTTTCTCCTTAGAGCTAGGACTCCGGGGCATCCAGCCCTGAGTTCCTAGAGCCCTGTCCTCCAGTGATGCCCCCTCAGGGTGTGGTTCTTCTGGCTCTGCCTTAATGTGTGTTGACTCCTGAGAGGGTCCCAAGGGTACTGTCTCCTCCTGCCCAGAGAGCATGTCTCCACAGCACTGCCCGGGACCTGGAACCTAGGAATCACGCTCTCGATCAGCACCGGACTGGATCTCCGGCAGAGACAGCCAGCAAGTGGAACGCACACTCGAACATAAGGCACACTTCAAAGCAGTGATGAAGTTGGCAAGCTTGAGATTAAATCATTAGAACTTTAGGGTGGGCCCTACATCCAGTGAAGTAGATCTTGGTAAGAACAGAAGGCACAGTTAGGTCTGGTGGTGCCAACGTGGGAAGCTGAAGCAGGAGGATAGCAAGTTCAAGACCTCCCATGGCTACTAGGAGTGTTCAAGGCCACATGAAAAACTTAGCAAACCTGTTTCAAAAATAAAAGTCAAAGGAGGATCTGAAATGTAGCTCAGTAGAAACTTCTTATAGTATGTATGAGAAGCAGGGTTCAGTCCTTCCACACTTGCACACGAACACGCACAGGGCTGCAGAACGCAGCTCAGTAACAGAGTGCTTGCTTAGGGTCCTAGGTCTGATTCCCCAGCACTGTCTAAATGCAACAAATAAACAAATGAATAAAGGCACAGAGGCTGGGAAAATGACTCAGCAGTCACAAGCACTGACTACTCTTGCGGCCGAGCCGAGCTAGGTTTCCAGCATTCATGTTGGACAGCTCAGAATCACCTGTAACTCCAGATCCAGGGAATTTGGTGCTCTCTCTGGACCGCAGGCACCTGCACTCACATCCAAACACACACACACACACACATACACACACACACCACATGAATATACATATAAATAAAAATAAGTTTAAAAAGAGAGAAGGAGAAGGCACAGAGATCAGAGATGGAGCCACATCTCTATGTGTATCTACACATACACAGCCCGAGACAAGCAGAGCCAGGAAAAAAGGTTCTCTTCCTGAAAGCCTTCCAAGGACGCAGGGCATTCTAGGACTGAGAGAGAATAAATCTCGGTGGGCTGAAGTCTCTTGGTTAGTGGGAACTTACCAGGGAGCCACAGGAAGCCAACACATCCAGGCTGAGAGATAAAAGAAGGCCCAAATCACAGGGCTCTAAAGCTTCCCCTGGGCTGGGGATACCTAGTGAGTTCCCACCTAAAACCGGGTGTAACCCACTGGCCTTCTGCTGGAAGCTCGCACCATTCTCCTCCTTCCCGTCTGGGACCTTCAGAGTACCTGGGGCCAGATCCAGTCATACCCACGACTGACCGCAGCCTAGATTCAGCTGCTCTAAGGCCTGCCTGAGACAGGAGGAGCTGGTGGCTGAGAGACACCGGCTTGCTCCAGAAGGTTCTGGACAGAGAGCAGTAACGGGATCTGACATCAGAAGAGAACACAGATACACACGGCTCCTCGGGTGTCAGATCCCCACCTAAAAACTGAACACTGGGAACAATTCTTTGGGCTTCTATGCCATGAAAATGGCAGCCCTCGGACTAGTGTATATTTATATTCACAGCCTGTGACAGGTAGGAACAGCAAGCGTATGACTCAACTTTACACATAGAAGAGTAGGTCCCACAGGCCTGATGTTAACTCAGAGTCCCTTAGCTCCGAGCCCAGAGAGCCTCAACCCCCAGAGATAGCAACACACACACACCCCACATGGGCAGGCGGCAGTTATAGGTAGAACTAGAACTCAGTCTCAGAGAGGTAAGCCATGAGGGGGCATAGCCCAGGGGGAGGTGAGCGGGGAGGAGAAGACTTTCCTGTGTTCTGTGAGCGCCATGCCTCTTACTAGACAGCAAAAGCACACCATAAAGACCCACTGGAAGCTATTTCCCATGATGCCGCTCCTTCCCCCACACCCGTACCCAGCGCCCTTACAGTGACTTTCACTTTTCCTTTAGCCCAGATAGCGGTTTTGAAAATCCCCCTCGGCTCCATTCCAAGGCACCCCACCCTCCCCAGGATCCCACCATACCACATGGGTTCTCTCCTCGCTCTCCGTAGCCAGGATGCTTTTACTGTCTGCAGGCATCTTCTGTATCAGAACGAGGAAGAACAGCAAATGGTTCTCTCCCCTGCTCGTCAAGCCCCCGCCAGGTTTTAGCCAGGATACTGCAAAAGAGGAAAGAAATCAGTATCTGAGGACACTTCCCAAGTGCCCAGCATTCCTCATGTCTGACCAGAGTGCAAATGAGGTCTGCCAGACCCTATGGAGTCCCGTGCTGAATGTATTATCCCCTTTGTCACCGAAGCAAGAGCCTCAAATCTCAGTGAAGTCAGGGAAAGTGAGAGCTAAATCGGAGTCAGGGTTTCTTGTCGAAAGGCGCAGAAAGTTCTGCGGAGAGCTTACAAAAGAGTTGTCAGAGCGGTGATGGCTGCCGTGTGCCCCAGCTGGACACGGCTCCACCTGGGCTCCCCGAATCAGCTGCCCACTCCCAGCAGTTCTTTCAAAGTCGCAGCTTCCTCCCTGGGTATGTGCATCCTAGTCATGATCCGGGTGGGTCCTGTCCTCACCTTCCCCATCCTGGGTTCAGCCTCCTCATTCCCTCTGGCCAGTCTGAAGCCTTCCACCTTTGACCTGTCCCCTTCTGCAAGCTGACTGCACAAATCGATTTTCAGGTGCCCTCCCAACCACCCCTTTCTCATCAAGGTAGAGGCAACCGAGGTACCTGGGGTGCCGTGGAGCCCCTCTCCTGGGGGTGAAGCGGGTCTCTGCAGCCAGAACTGAACGGGCCCGGGAAGCCCGGTGGAGGCTGGGATTAGGGACAACAGGAAGTCCTTTCCAGATCCCATTCCCCACTTAACTGCAGCTTTACAGGGTTCCCAGCTTCGAGGGTTCCGGTTCAGGGGGTCTCCAGCCTGGGCTGCACCTGTCTTGGCTTGGGCGATAGATAGGGTCAGAACCATAGTGCTGGTTCACAATGATTACTCTACCCAGCAGTGTCTATGAACACCGAGACAAAAAAAGCTGAAAACACGCAGGGCTATGGCGCAAGCCTTTAATCCCAGCATTCGGGAGGCAGGCAGATCTCTGAGTTCGAGGCCAACCTGGCCTACAGCATGAGTTCCAGGACAGCTAGGACTACACAGAGAAACCCTGTCTCAAAACAAACAAAGGAAACAAACAAAACAATCCAGGAGGTGTATTTTTAGACAGACTTGAGTGTTTGATGATTCAAAGGTTGTAGTCATCCTTAAAGGAGTGTCGTTCTGAGTGGAAGGAGCAGAGCCGTTCTCTCCTTCACACCACACATCTGAAGGGCATATACTGTCTATGGGGCCCCTGGATTCATTTAAGGCTCCTAGGTTTGGAGTTCCTCTGGGTGCTCTCAGACTGAGTCAGAGTTCTGAATCCCTGAATGGACTTAGGAAACAGGATTTGTTCCTCTGTAGCCCCCCTCCATGGCCTATGTATCTGCAAGATGAAAGAGAAATTGGATTTGTCAAAACCCACTCAGGTTCTGTAATAGAGGGGCATAGCAACTGTCCCAGAGTGGATTTGAGAAGTGCAGGGGGATCTGTGGGGGATGAGCATGATCAAACTACATTGGATGAAACCCTCAGATAACTAATAAAGATGTTACATATGTTTTGTCTGTTTGTTGAGGCAGGCTCTCACTATGTAACTCTGGCTGGCTGTTGTCCTCGAACCAGAAACTTTTTTTTTTTTTTCAGACAGAGCTGGGGAAGCAATAGCTCAAAGGTTAAGAGCATGAGCTACTCTTCCAGAGGAGCCAGGTTCAATCCCCAGCACCTACAAAGGGGTATTCCTAAGAAATCCTAAGAGATCTGACACCTTTTTCTGGACTCCAAGTGTCCTGCACATGTAATATAAACATATATGCAGGCAATACACAAACAATAAAATAATAACAATAGATTTAAAAATAAAAAGAGGCTACCCAGTTGTCTAAAAAAGAGGAGTTGTCCTCCGAGATCCTGAGACCACCTGGTAGACTCTGTTCCCCCAGACCTTAGGAACTAAGGCTCCAGAGAGGGAAGAAAGTGACAGAGCGTGGGTGTGTTAGCAAAGGGGCAGTGCCCTAGTCTGGAGGAAGCATCCATGGAGTCCACAGGAATTCATCCTGTGCCTGCTGGCTTCGGCTCATCCAAGTCTTCCGAGACTAACTCCTTCACCCCAAAAGGTAATCACCAGTAGCTGAACATAGTGGCTTGTTCCTATAATCCCAAGAATCAGGAGACCAAGGCAGGAGGATCAAGAATTTGGGGACAAAACTTTTATAATTTAATAAAATTACTTTCTAAAAGAAAAAAAAAGAATTTGAGGACAGTCTAGGTGGGCTGGGAAATTCCATTTAAACTAGGGCTACATAGCAAGACCTTGTCTTGAAAATGGAGAACAGAAAAGTCAACACTGGACCCTGCATAAACTCCCAGGGTGCTCTGTGGGTCCACTGGGCTTGACTGCTTTTTAAATTTGCTAGACTGAGTGTCACTCAAGAGACTGAGTCCAGAAGGTGTCAAGTTCAAGGTCTGCCTGGGCAACTTAGTGAAACCTGTCTCAAAGTAAAATGCTTAGAAAACAAAAAGGCTGTGGAATAGATTAATGGAGAGCACGGGTCAAGCACAGGAAAGGCCCTAGTTTTTATGCTCCAGTTATTCACAAAATGATTAACATAGAAAGTTAACTGCAGTATTAAAAATCACCAGAGTTTTCTGAGGGTGTGGGTGTATGTGCCCTCGTGCGTGCTACTGAAGATGGAACTCAGTCTTAGCTATGGTAGGCAAACACTTTACAAATGAGCCATACACTTAACTTTATATTTGAATTTATTTAGGTTTTTGGGTTTTTTGTTTGTTTGTTTTATCTTTTGAGAAAGGGTTTCTCTGTGTAGTCTTGGCTGTCCTGGAACTCCCCTGCCTGCCTCTGCCACCCGAGTGCTGGGATTAAAGGTATGCACCACCACAGCCTGACTACATTTGAATTTTTTAAACCAGAACATCCGGGTTGGCGAGATGCCCGGCAGTATCTGCTGTGAAGGTATGACAATTTGGGTTTGGTTCCTAGAAACCATATAAAAGAGGAAAGAGGGGACAAACTCCACAAAGTTGTCCTCTATGCTGCACCATTCACCTGCACTCACACACACACATGCACACACACACTACACACATACATACACACATACTACACACACACACACTACATGCACAAATACACACCACACACATACACATGCACACACACTACACACACATGCACACATACACATACTATACACAGACACACTACACACACATACATACACATGCACACACACTACACACACATGCACACATACACATACTATACACAGACACACTACACACACATACATACACATGCACACACACTACACACACATCATACACATACTACACACACATACATACATTATACATACACATACACATACTGCACACACACATACGTACACACTACACACACACGCACACATATACACACTACACACACATGCACATACTACACACACATACATACACACATACAATTTTAAAAATCAGAACATTTGGTAACACTGGACCTGTATTTCCTCCATTCATGACCAGTTTTGCTTAAATGGCCACATCTGATTGGCCCTATAACATCGAGCTGGTGTTCTGCTCTAAGACTTAGAGATGTCTGTGGGGTTGGAGAGGCAGCTCATTGGCTAGGAGCACTTGTTCTTACTGAGGATCCAGGTTGGATTCACAGCACCCACCAGTACCTCATAAGCTCTGTAACTCCAGTTCCAGAGGATCTGATGCCCCTATCTGACCCCCTTGGGCAGCAGGCACACACAAGTTTCATATACATACATGCAGGTAAAACACACAAAAAGTAAATAAGAGAGAGAGAGAACATGGGAGTGAGAGTGGGATGATCATGTAAAAAACATGCTTTAGGAATTCCAGAATCTGGCTTGATTCTACAGTCAATGTGAAGAATGAGATTTACTCTGATTTTGCCTCTGAATTGTTTACCCAGGCATTTGAATCCTCCGGTGGAGAGAAATGTACTTAATACCAGTATACCAGTAATACCAGTTCAAACCAGACACACTGTAAACTCACACCCGCGCCAAGGGGACCCTAGAATAGAGGACACCCAGTACTCAGTCCATGAGGAGCAGAGAGTATGCAGGGCAAGGGGACTCACTCCTAGAGAAGAGCAAGGTACTCATGCAGTCTCCGCAGTGACCAAGTCCAAAACAGTACTGTGTCCTAACTCCTGGATCAAAGTTCTCCACAGTCAAAGAGGCCACTGAGGAACAAGGTGTGCAGAAATGTGGATCTCACCCTGAGGTTGCCAGTAGACCGAATGGTGTCTGAGCAGACTTGGTTGGAGAATGTGTTTTGAGTACCTCATGTACAAAAATTATTAGCCTTGCTTGAAGAAGGAGAGGAATGCTCTGATTATCTTTAGGAACACAGCGGGTCTGGGAGAGAAGGTTACCACAGTTACTGTGTGCAATGGCCACCTCTGAAAGCTCAGAAAGGCTCTGGAGAAAAGGAAGGAATAAGACAGTCAGATATAAAAAGCATGTGTGATGTTAAACACCTATTTTCAGCACATAGAAAGTAGAGGCAGGAGAATCAAGAGTTCAAGGCTATCCTTTGCAACATAGAAAGTTCAAGGCTAGCCTTGGCTACAAATGACCCTGTCTCAAACATAACAACAACAACAACAAAAAACCACCAAGATTTAGCTGCGTGGTGGTGGTGCACACCTTTAATCTAGCACTTGGGAGGCAGAGGCAGGTGGATCTCTGTGAGTTTAAGGCCAGACTAGTGTACAGAGCTAGTTCCAGGACAGCTAGCGATACACAGAGAAACCCTGACTCAAAAAAGAAAAGAAAAGAAAAGAAAAGAAAAAGAAAAAACAAGATGTAAGCCAGGCAGTGGTGGTGCATTCCTTTAATTCCAGCATTCAGCAGGCAGAGGCAAGTGGCTCTCTGTGAGTTCGAGGCCAGTCTGTTCTACAGAGTGTGTTCCAAGACAGCCAGGGCTACACACCCTGTATCAAAAAGAAAAAATAAGACAAAAACCAAGATGAACAAGATGCAGTTGGACATGGTGGGACTCAACTGTCATCCCTTAAGAAGCTGGGACAGGAGGTCTAGCATGAGTGCACGGCCAGCTTGAGTCACTTAACAAGACTCTGCCTCAAATAAATAAATTCAATGTTATATAGTTAGCATCGTAAATAATCATTTGACTAGTAGTTTAAGAATAAGATGGGGGAGAGCTGAGGAGATGGCTCAGCAATTAAGAGCACTGACAACTCTTCCAGAGGTTCTGAGATCTGGTGCCCTCTTCTGGCCTTTTTAGGCACACATGTAGACAGAATACTGTATACTAAATAAATAAATATAAATAAATAAAGTTAAAAGAATTTTTTTAAAAAAAAGAATAAGATGGGGCGAAAGAACCAGAATTTATTTAGAGGTGGCTGTGGGTGATCTCTCATATTGCCAAAGTTTGAATATTTTTTAAGACTTATTTATTTATTATGTATACAGCGTACTGCCTGAATGTCAGAAGAGAGCATTAAATCTTGTTGTAGATGGTTGTGAGCCATCATGTGGTCGTTAGGAATTGAACTCAGGACCTCTGGAAGAGCAGTCAGTGCTCTTAATCTTCCATCTCTCCAGTCCCCAAGTTTGAGTATTTTTAAAGATAAGCAAAAGAAATCTCTATTTCTATTAGAAGACACCCATGTGCCTCTGCCTCCCACATGTCTGGATTAAAGGCATGCACCACCACTGCCCCAAAGAAATATGACTTTTAATTGATGACAAAATTTAAATTTAAGGTTCCATAGAAGTTCTGCCGCCTGCACCAGTTCGCGGGCTTCTTGTTTAGAGCTGTAGCGACCGCAGAGCTTGTCACAGGTGCTGCCATGGATAAAGCACTAGCAA